ACCCCCCCACACCCACCCCCTCCCCCACACCCCCACCCACACCCACACCCACACCCACACCCACACCCACACCCACACCCACACCCACACCCACACCCACACCCACACCCACACCCACCCAATTATGTATAATCATTATCGAAATGTCAATCCTCGTACCATCAATTATCTTGAAGGTCATCATAATAGATGGAAAAAACGATCCTCTAAACCTCATCATGATATTTATACTTGTATCGATATGTTTAAACTGGAACAGTTTTTAGCAAAAGATGAAGGTTTGAGAGATGAAGAAGGTGTAGCACCACCAAAACGTCGAAGAGGCGTTCGTATCGCCGAAGAATCATTAGGAAGATTATGGGATAAATTAGAAAATAATAAAATTGATAAAGAAACCTTTTTGAAGAGTGCTGGTCTTCGATATTTTCAAATTTTGAAAATTGAATAAGAAATAAATTGAATCGTTTCTTTCAGAATTTTTTTTCAAACTTTTTCTTATTATCTATTAAACAAAAATGAAAAAGAAATTGCAGCATATATAATGAAACCCATTTAGAATATGCAAATCAATTTATTAAGAATAAACAAAAAAGTCTGAATCATGATGTTATACCAAATATGATTTTCACCATAAAAAATTTCATTATTTTATCTAGAAAGAAATTCAGCTACATTGTTTTTATTTCATCTTCTTTTTTTTTGTTCTTCGTATAAACAATGTGCGCCTAATTTTTTTTTTGTACGGCAGTAAATCCCACGGCAGTAAATCGTGTATGCGCTTTTTATTCACACAGAGTATGCATGAGAGTATAGTTCCTTTCAGTAGAGAGTTAGGGACGTTTGCGTCGCGTTACTTGTACAATATTTCTTAAAAAACATCCCTCTCAGGTTTTTGCCTAGGAATTGACAGCCCACAGTGAGTAGTATCGATTATCATAGTTTAATATTTTATTCATTCACCTTTATCTTTGATAAGGGACAAACATCTTTTTTTCATGGACATCAAACAATCTTTCACAATATTAATATCAATATTTTTGAATTTCTTAGCTAAAATTAGTTCGAGCTGATCAATATTCATTGGTTTTCTTTTTTCTACGTTGTGTTTCACGATTGACCGGATATTTTCGATCAGATTTACATCAGGGCTATTCGTTAGTCAATCTAATAACTGTGGTACATTCTCGTCGATAAATTCTTGACAAATATTACTCTTGTGTTTGGAATCATTGTCCTGCTGTAAACGCCAATTAGAACCAAACTGGTCTAAAAAGGTAAGAGTATACAAGTAACGATAAATAATTTCTTTTCTCACGCATTTGTGGCGGCTGGAAGAAAACAATCTTCAAGGACAGAAACATAATATGAACCACCAAGACTGCATCAAAACGTGTGACACGTTAATACACCCTTCATGCTTATCGCACCCCTAAGATGAACCTTCTGACGATTTTTAGGTGAGCATTTAAATTCTCCATCAGGATGTTTTGTCCATGGGTGAACTATGCTTCGCAAAAGCTGGAATGAGAATGCATCTGTAAATATTGTATTATTGAGGGTGTGGCTATGTAGTGTAGGTATGAGAAAAGAGTATGACATTCACACCAGCAACCTATTAGATCATTATTTCGTTTACTAATGAGTCATAACTTTCCGGATGTAAGCGTAATACACTTGTGTATGCAATTATTGAAAAATAAATTCTCATCGTGACAGCATGAAAGGAAGAGGAAAGCAAAAAAGTATAAGAACACACGAAGGACGATAGACAATTGATAGTCATCACAAAAAAGGGCTGTATATGACGAATACGTTACGCTTGATTAACTGAGAGAAATAAAAATTAGTTGGAAGAAACCAAGTAATTTTGTCAACGATAAACACGAAGCAAAAACTGGTTATAGACATACAAAGTAATTTCGCATACTCCAATATCAATTTCTACTCAGGTAAGTTTGATATTCAACAGGTTAAACCTATAGTGTTAGAATTAAAGTTGTAAGTCAAGTTTTAATACTAAAGAACGATAAAGAATGTAGCATTGAAATGAGGTATTGTAATCATGAGAAAGTAATATGAAGAATACTCAGTTTCTCTAATCGATCGTCTACTTCGGTATAGGTTCGACACCTATAATTGTTTCATCTGAAAATATGCTCATTATAATGAATTCTAGACTAATTAAATAACATTTGTAATAATGGTCGTATTGAACATGAACCTTAATCCCAAGAAGCTAACATAGCGACGAATATCAAAGCTTCTAATGAATACTTTCTGACCCTGTAGAAGTAGTAAGAATATTTTTGACCCTTGACTAACTCAATGGACACCAAAAATTTGAAAATCATAGCAAAGGTTTTATTCAAAGGATTGAACAAGCTTCAGACGTTCTTTAATTAGAGACATAGGTGAACTGCTTCACAAAAGACGGTTTGCTCATCTATATGTGCGAGCATCCATCAAAATTTGTAGGGGTGAATTGTATTTCACTGATTAACATGTTTATCTTCTGAGACTAGTTGTCTTTGATGTTAAGAAAATAAAAAGAGCCTTGCCCATAGAATATATATAGGCAGATAACATTGAGCAGAGCAAGAACAGAGATAAGTCGCAATTGTTGTGTGAATCAGTCACGAAGTAATATCAATGTTATCGGAGGTATTGGGTCTATTCTTCAAGAAGCTTCTCAGAATTTTTGCTAATCTAATATCTCAACTTGTATAATTTTTCGGAACAGAATAATTTGATATGTCATTTTTGCATTAAGTCTATGTATTAGTTGCAAAGTGATCGGTTCTACATGACAATCTTGTACTAATGCAATGTAATCGAGAAGGGAAATTTGATGGGGGATCTCAGTATTTTCTTTATCGCTCTTTCAATTTCTTTCTTTTAAGGAAGAATTTGCAGCTGTCTTATCTAGAACACTGAGGATATACATAAACAAGCTTAAGTCGACAATAGTAATGAATGAGTGATTATGTTAATAAGTCTTTTACGCATGTGTTAACTACATTTCGGATGTGGATTCAGGTCCTGATAGAGGTAGAACAATCTACGACCACACCCAACCTGTTGCAAAGCATCAAGTTCAAGGGTTTCGTTTAACCATTCCAGATGGAAACTTCGACCTTTTGCAGAAGAAATACTTTTATTATGCCTTTCTCTATTCTTTACTCCATGTAAGTGATAAAAAACATCTTTTTTCCTTATCGCACGTCATCTTACAACATTTCCTGTATTCCTTATTTATTTTGCATCAAGAAAGTATCAATTATTCATATAAAGTTTCCAGCAATGCCTTTCGATCGTAACATTACTTTTGAAAATTCGTTAGCACTTCTCTTTTATTGTATCCAGCAACTACACTACAAATGATTGTATAAAGTACATAAATAGCGATTCATTTGAGAATCAGAATCTTTTTAAAGACTCCCCTCAAAAAAGTCACTTTTCGTCAGAATCAGGAAAATCCAGATAAATGCATAGGAAGATAGAGTGTCACTTGCTCTTTCATAAACAATAAAAATTTTTCTTCGGTACCTCCTTTTTTCCGAAAAATTGTCGAGATTTCTGACAACTCGTATTCGAAAAACCAGCGGTTTTTGAAAGATTCTGAATTTTTTTTTCTTTTTTTCTATTTTTCTCAAAGTGGTAGTCGAATGACGTAGCCCTCAAAAAAAGTCAATTATAATCCAATATAAAGTCGAATATATTTTTTGTTTGAAAGATCATGTCAGCATGCAGGACCCGTGAGGGCCCTTTTTTTGATAAAGGGTGTGGGTGTGGGTGGGTGTGAGTTGGGCGGGGGGTATGGCTGAAGAGCAGACGAATACCCACACCTACATTCTGATCTATAGCATTTCTTTTATCTTAGATTCGAATCATCAAATTTTGACAAATTTGTAGCCTATACTATTCACTATCGAATGAGAGGTGCCCGATCTCAATCGGTCAAACCACTCATGAGAAAATGTCAAAATACTGAGCACACTCATTTTTAGCGACTTTTTAGAGTCAATTTTGACTCCCTTACACTTGTTTTAGCTCGCATTTTTCATCGGTAAAACCAAGTAAGCTAATGTTTTTTGGATTTAACTATAGGTTACCTAGGCCTATCGTTTAAGAAAATAAAACCGAAAAAAAATTTTTTTTCCCGGTGACCTGTATGGTGAATACGATAGTCCTCTCGCGGACCCGCTATTAAGAAGAGTTTCTTTCTTGATCATTAACTGCCGGAAATTTCTAGTTTTGGACGCTGTTCGATTCTATTTGACAGAGTTCATTAGAATACAATAGACCCAACTATAAGGTTAGACATATATAGTCTATCTGTCTGAATGGGTGTAGCCCATGTAAAAAAAAATAGGTGAAAAATCGATGGATAAATGATTTTAATTGATTTCAGAGGCGAATAATTGATGAAAATCTAAGAATAACGATTCTTTCTAATTAAAATTAAGATTATAATCGATTTTACTTTATGATAATCGAATAAAATAGATTAATTCTTGGTGAAATCGATTATTTATGATTTTTTTTAATCAGTTAAAATCAAGCTATTAAAGTAATGGATTATCATCAGTAGTTTATAGTTTTTTCTCGATTAAAATGAAATAATATTGATTTTAATCTATTACCATCAATCACATTTTAAAATCGATTATAATTCTGAGAATAAAAATCACTCAAAATCAAATGAAATTGATTTCAATTCATTGTCATCGATTACATTTAGGAATTGATTTTAATCCTCAGTATAAAAATCTCTTAAAATCAAATGAAATTGATTTTAGTTTATTGTCATCGATTACATTTAGGAATTGATTTTAATCCTCAGAATAAAAATCTCTTAAAATCGAAAGATTTCGATTCTAGTTCATTGTCATCAATCACATTTAGGAATCGATTATAACTTTGAGAATAAAAGACTATTTAAGATAGAACAATAGATTTTACCAACGATATCAGTTCGATTTTCAATTCGGTTTTTAGAATTTTATGGTGTTTCATAGTAAAAATAGTCAAAATCAAAGCGCAACCATCAATTATTTTTCTTTTTTTTTGAAAGAAATACATAATTAAAATTGAAGAACATCGACTTTATCTTTGGAAGCTTCATGCCAGACTATTAATTAAATACTTCTTGTCTTTTTCTACTCATTTGGTACGATTGATTTCATGGTCTTATATGTAAAAGTTAAAAATTCAAGTTTACGCAAGAAACAATCTTTCACTAGTTAAGAACAATGTTCAAGAGTTGGAAATCGAATAAAATAAGTAACGTTGTTTGGACTTTGAAAAAAGACGTTTTTTTCTAAAAAGTCTTTTAATTCAATAGGAACGTAATTCCACTGTGATGTTGTCGCATGAAGAATATCAGGATAAATGAATTCCTCGTCCCCATCTATTACACAAGTGAGGGGAATCAGATCTCGTAAGTAA